CACACACACACACACACACACACACACACACACACACACATCAGCTTTGTGTATGTCTGTCTTTCTCTTGTTGTTTGTCCTTTCTCCTGTTTTTTCCAAGTACTGTGTGGTTGAGTGAGCACCTTTAAGAAGCGTAGTTGGTCCATTGTTTCGCGTGCTTGCACAATGACTTTTAGGGGAGGCAAATGGTCGATACGTGATGACAGACGTCAGTCGGAGTGACTCCCTGGCTCAGCGGGTGGAGGGCACCAACAGTTTGTGGGATTCACTCGTGATGTCAGTAGGTGATGTGCCGCTTGCTTCGCATGCCATACTTCGCAGCTGGTGTCTTCACGGTGTGGTGTGGCTGTGTTGTTGGTGTTGCCTTGTGCTTCACTGCTCTGCTGCCTTGCTGCCTTGCTGCCCATCCGCCCTTGTCTTTTGCTTGTGTGCCGTGTAGTTTGGTTTCGACTTGTGCTCCACTGTGCGGTTTCCGTGCTGCTCTTTCGCTTGCCCTGTCATCCATGGAGTTAGTTACTTTTGGCATTGTGCAGTCGTGTTGCCTCGACAGTGCTGCCCTGGTGCTTCGCTGAGTTGCTGAGCGCTGCTGTGTTTCGTTTATGGACAGTATGCTTCCAACAAGGCTCAAAGGGTTTATGACCCAAACCATAAATACAGGGGTTCTCAAGATTGTCGAGGATTCAGCCTTCTGATGAGTTGGTGCAACACCGATGAAACAATCTATAATCAGTTTTTTCTTTTTTCTCCATCTTTCCCTTTCTACAATTTTTGCCTGTTGGTATTTTGCCTCGCTACTTTCTGGCTTCCTGCCTTGTGCTGATTGTCTGCCCATCCGCCTCCCCCGTGCCCTCCAGCCTATGTCCCTCGCTTCACTGTCTTTCCTGCCTTGCTGCCCTGTGTCATTTGTTTGCATTTCGTTTTTAGAAAGGGCAACGGCCTTGAGATATGATCATCGAACTGACCGGCCCTAGGTAATTCAGAATTGTAGTATTCTACTATTTTACTCATTTGCTTCCAGTGGAGTTTGAACTCAGCACCTGGTCTGTATTTCAACAGTTCAAAGGGTGTACCAACTGATCTAGGCAAGTCGGTCGTTTCGACTACTGGACTTTCACCGTCTAGGGTGCTGAATTCAACTGCTTCATTTAGCTCTTTTTTTTTTTTTTTTTTTTTTTCTGGGTAGGGCTCTATCCTACCATCGAATGTTGATAGGGCAGAAATTTGAATGGAGAACATTGCCGGCTCAAAGGCCATCCGATTCAAAAAAAATTGGACCGTTTCTCGATTTATGCGTCTCATCCTTGCGCAGGGGCCATGCAATAATTCTATTGTATATCATTATTATCATATTACATATTATTGTTTATTCAACTTTATTGAACTTTATTCCATTTTCGAATATTATATTTATATTTTTTTCTTATATTTTATGTATACTTACTATACTACATAATATTTCAACGTCTAGGGTGCTGACAGAATATAATATATATATATATGATATCATATATGAAACGGATTCCACCTTTGCAGTAGCCTATGCAGATCCCAGGGCTCGATCCCTAGTCCTTACCCTACCTGTGTACAGTATCTGTGTCGACCCCAAGAGTTGAACCCACGACCTGTGTCTTTCCCCACAGTTGGTAGGTTGTCGTAGGTCTGTAGGTTATAGGGGTTCGATCTGTAGACCTGTCGGATAGGAGTCTTAGCGAGTTCTAGAAGTCATAGCTGTAGCTCCTCCGAAGGGTCAAGGTCGTAGCTGCTACAGTACCGAAAGGCCAAGTCCACGGCCTTCCGGAAGGTCCGGAAGTGGCCTTTCGGGCACTTCCCACAGTAGACCGAGGCAAGTGGCCAAGTGGTGGAGTCCACCTGTGCTGAGTCAGCGATACCCAGTCCCATTCAGTCCTAATCCAGTCAAACAAGTACCGTATGGGACTGTGTGCACCACGGGCATGGGAAAGGGGCAGACCAACGAGTTACAGAAGTATAAATCAAGAAGCAGCGCCCAGCCATTCATTCATTCCTGCGTAAGCTATGCGGAAGCGCTGCCACAGCGACTTGTGCGAGGTGGTCTGCAGTGAGCCCGAAGACGAAGTGGGCAAGAAGGAGAGCGGCGCCATAGCGATAGGGGTAGCAGCGGCCATAGCCGCCATAGCTGATAGAGGAGTGTAGTGTGTGTGTGCGTGTGTGTACAGAGAGATGTGTGTGGGATATCCAGGGTGATCCTGTGTGTGTGAACAGAGAGTTGTACAGGCGCTGTGGCGCCATAGCCGTTTGAAGTGAACTTGTATCTGAACTGCGTTCTTGGTTACCATATCTCTGAGTTCGAGTGGGCGCTTGTCGCCAGTTTGCTGCGCTACCTGTTTGCATGTATGTGAAGTGT